TTCTTCTTTGTCTGTCTTACACTAAAATTCCCAAAAATATATAAATGCTGACTCATGAGTTGCTCTTTGGTGTTGTTGTCCTTCAGTGTCAATTCAACCGGCAGATGAACATGTTAAGCATGACTCATGATTGGAGAGCGAGTGCTATATTCTCAAAACGGACAGCCTCCATATTTCCCATAGGTTTCCCACACACCCAATAAGATAATGTTGCTTGGCAACAAATACGTTATTTTCCAGTAAAACATTTTTTGGCCTGTGCTGCCTAGCAACAAACTTTATTTCTAGTAGTTATTTTCCAGAGGGAACACCTGAACCTATCAGGTCCTGAAGCATCTTTGTACATCAGCAGAGACGTCTTGTTGTTGCTGTAAAGTGCTGAGGCTGGACTACATACAATGACAACTGAGCACACTTCAACTTACACTCTTGTTATGTTTCTGGCTCACATCCTTTTTTGCTTTGTCTTTCAGAGCACATTATATTTTCTACATTGTTCAATATAACATTATGACTGTTTTAATATTTATTTACTTTTTTAAAGTCACTTTAGCTGAAACGAAGACTTCCAGTTTTACTTTGGTCTTCACTAGTCAGTCAGTCTGCAAATGGCAATCTCTGTGTTTCAGACTGGATATTTGCCTTGTATACAAATCACAAGACATAAAATCTTCCAATAAAAATACAATTACTGGGCTTTCAATTTAGTGCGTCTGCTCCAACAGCATACACAAAGCCCCAACACAAGTATGAATGAATGTTATCTGTCTACAAACATGGTTCATGTGCTGGTTTTCCCATCACTTTAGTCATTCTCCGATCTGTCTTCCCTCGTATGTGACGGCCGCGTGATAAATTACCTTTAAATTTCATCCCTGTCATAGTTACAGCTCTCTCAGACAGATGAATAGGGGACAGTCAGGGGGCTGTGGAGCCTGCAGGCTCCTGTCAGAAAGCAAACCGTGTTGTGAATTACGACCGGACGGTTTGTCTCTGTGAGTGAAGGATTGTATTTATATGATGACACACTCGTAAACAGTGCTGAGGTGCTGCAATTGATCTCTTGGATGCAGAACCCCTTCCAACCTCCGAATGAGGATACTGGGTGAGAGGGGGATTTACGTACCTAATAATAGAGCAAACTAGATATATTTCCAGAGAAAGAATTCGGCACGGGTCCTATTTATAATTACAGAATCCCATGATGCATCCCTCAGGGTTTAACACCAAACCAGTTAAAGACTAACACCATGCTGCTGACTAGGCTGCACAGACACAGCACACACACACACACCATTTAAAGATGGTGTCATCTTCACACTCCCCTTTAGATTGCTGACAAATATAAGAGAGGGATATTAAGGGTGTGTTTAGGAGGCGGGAGCGGCCACTAAAATAGGCACAAGGGACTTTATTTTGGTGGGGGGCACTATTTTTAATTAGTCTCCCTCAATGTCCCAAGTGCTCATGCATGCAAAAACATGAAATTGCTGTACCTGATGGGACTGTGAGGCTGTCAGCAGAGCACTCATAGACTTCATAACAGCACAAAAATAAATAAATGAAGAGTTTCTTATTCCCATGCTGCTCTGGCAGAGAATAGGGGAGACCAGGGATGACTGTGACACTTGATACATTTTAAAGGCCAAGTTTAGACAACCACAAAATACATTAAGTTTCTTTTGGGTTTATGGGTTGATAAACATTGAAATCACAAAAATCATTTCAGTTTAAAATTCAAGTGTTGCTTATTAATTTAGGAATGATAAAAAACATATAGAAGTTGAAAGTTTTTTAAGTTTGTTCATTTGCATGTCATAGGCCGGCTTTAGAGGGCCACTATTATGAGAAATCCACTTTTGGGTGGTTTTCAACCAATAACATGCATCCCCTTGGCCCTGTACAGTGGTGGCTAAGGTTGCTTTACTCAAGATTTTTTGGACATGTATTGGACACAGCTCCCTACTAAAAACACGGAGCAGAAACAAGCTGAACCAAATTGTTTTTCTCAAATCAAGCAGAATTTATATTGGCATTGTTCCTCCTCATACAGTTGGTGGCAAAGCCTTACCACAAAAACATGATTTAGCAGATATTTGGGGTCAAACCAAATAAATACATAAATAAATAAAAACTTAACAATTTTGAATTGTTCAATTTTTTTGTCTTCAGAAACATTTGTCAACTTTTAATTTTCCTTAAAGCCTATCTGGCATACAGAACTATCATAAATGCCTTACAGTCAGGGTCTCTTAATGTTGAAAAATAACCAAAAGAAGGAGGAAAATGAAAATGAACTCTACTTACAGACACAGGATCACTGATGATCAGTGTTACTTTGAAGAGTATTTGATTAAGTGTCAATTTTGATTAATCTAACGCCACTTTATGACCTGCAAATGCACGCAAGATTGATTATTTCAACAGTATTATTTCAATGTCAAAGAGCACTTTTTTCCCCTCAACAGCAGGTATTCACAGGGGGTGATATGTCTGACAGGTAAAGAGTAAACAGATAAAACTTTATTAAGAATAAGAATAAGAAGACCTTTATTGATCCCCGAAGGGAAATTCAATTGTCTGTTGTCTCTCATAATATGTCTCTAAAAGTTATCTGTTATTTAAACAAGAGTTATAAAGCCTGATGGCTGTTGGTACAAAAGATCTCCTGAATCTTTCTGTCCTGCAGCGAAGAGAGAGGAACCGTCCACCACCATCTGCCCATTGGTCCATTAAGGTGTTGTGAAGTGGGTGATCCATGTTCTTTAGAATAGTGTTTGATGCTTCCCCCCCAGCAGACTGCAGCATAGAACAGAACACTTGCCACCACAGACTGATAAAACATCTGCAGCATCTTACTACAGATGTCTATTGATTGGAGTCTTCTCAGGCAAAAGAGGCGGCTCTGCCCCTTTCTGTAGATGAAGTCTAAATTCTTAGACCAGTCCAACTTATTACTTTATAAATTAAAACAAAATAAAAAAAATTAAATGGACCAAAAAAATCAACAAAGAAAAAAACTATAACACCTAGTCTACAAAGTCAACTAAAATGCCAAGAGCCCTTACATTACGCCCTTAAACCTAAATGTCCTTGCCCATAATTCTTTATTGAGTGAAGTTAGCATGTTCAGCTCAAAACATTCAGCCATCACCACTGTTCTGTGTTTGAACAAGACACTGAACTGTTGTCTGGCACAGCAAAGGCAGCATCTCAAAACAGGTTCTCCCTTTTGCAGTCTCTGTTAGTCTCAAGGTTAAAAGTGGCTCTTAGCTATTTCAGAATAACTGAAGTGTGAGACAACATGGCGGCAAACATAAAGAGACTTAAAGAAAAAAGAGAAACTTACAAAAGACAACCTTTTGAAAATTCGTATTGGTATTGATCATACATGTTATGTGCTGTGATTTGGTTTTGTGCTACTTTGAATACCAGCTGTTTTACATGATCATTTTTTGCTATTCTGATCCAAATCATTTTGTTAAAAAATCCAGTTTTGGGGTTTGATCTTTTTGGACATACTTGAGGCAGTGACTCCACCCCAGGACCATGTCATCATAGCAATGCAACTCATGGTGCGCCTGTCAAAGGAATTCATAGCAGCATGACACAATAAAAAGGGTGTCTATTTTTGACTTATGAACAAGCATTAAGTATCCACTGATTCAACACCATCAAAATCACTTGGTTAATAAGAAAATGTACAAAGTTTAGATAGTAACAAACTAGGTAGAACATCGACATCTTAACTTGTTAGCGTGATTATGCTAGCTTGCCATTATTGGCATTTTGCCAAATAGTAATCGTGATGAGGCGCTACCTCAAAAAAACTTGGACAGGTATAACTGGAGCGTAAACATTCGAAATAGCTGAGGCACTCAACTTTGAAATAACTTTGTATCTGACGTGACTTCGAATAGGTTGTTTCTATATAAATAAATCTGTAAATAGTTATTCTGACTGCAGTACACCTGACTTCTTCACTCTCCGGCCTGTGACTGGTCAGCACAGGCAGCTCATGACCGTCACATCCCATCAGGTGTCATCACTGTCGGAGCATGTACTTTACATCGTTCTGGGATGTGTAATAAACTGTTTGACTACATTTCCTAGCAGGAGAAGAAGCACCTGATATGACGTCCCCTGCTGCCAACTGTCAGTCAGGCAGGAATCCTGCTGACCTTTGACCTTGATCTGTGATTGGCTGCAGCGTGCTGAGAGGTGCAGTGGTTGGAAGTGTGACTATTTATTTCTTACCACCATGAACCTGTCTCTTAACAGTGATATCACTGCATTTCTGTGGCCACATGCCCAGCATGTCAGGACCCTGCCAAAGATGGTTTATGCTGGTGAAGATGACTCACTCTGCTGTTAACAGTTGAGAATAACGGGTTACTGAAAATGGTTTTATCTCAGCTCCTAGCCTCTTTTTGTCACCAATTCATTTCTCTCTTAGACTAAAGAAATAATTAAACTTCTCTCAGATCTTAAAAAAATATTTACTGAACATTTATTGGTGAAAATTTGAATATATGTTTCATCACCAAGTATACCACCTTAATTCTCACATAAACATATGAAAATCAACACAATATTGAAGTGATAGGTTGAATGTCTACCTTAGCTTACACTTACAAATAAGTGTAAAAATACTTAACAAAATGTCATTTTATCTATTTCTACAAGCCCAATGATTTGCAAGACAAAAAAGCACATTTCCATCGCAGAAAAAGAAGATGACACCACTGACTGTGACAGCAGGCCAAACTTAATTACTAACAAGCCGATTTCATCACTTGATTTCTTCCTTTTTTGGATATTGGATGGCTGGACATGAACTCCATCAGTTTGTGAGTCAGAGTGACCCCTCTTACCTGGAGTCTGTCTTTGCAGGGTGACACAGTGAAGCCTGCAGCAGTCCAAACTGGGCAGAGCTGATGGTGGGAGGGGCTGAGTGAGTGAGGAGGTGAAGTGGGGGTGATGTTGGTACTGGTGGGCTTGCCAAATGAGCACATGAGGGCAGTAATGTGATCTGACTTGAGTGACAGGCCATGTTTTCTTTCTTTCTTTTCTTTTTTTTTTTTCTGCAGAGGTTAGGCAGAGATATAAGAGGCCGGGGCACCAGCTGGAGACAGAAAGAGAGACAGACAGAGAGACTGAACATCACAGCAGAGGACCAGTGGACTTAACTCTTCCTTCAGATCCCTTCAGTGCAATCGAACTACTTTTTACTCAGAAAAAGGATGGGACTGCACAGTGTTGAGGAACTGGTAAGATCCGATCGAGAGCTAATATCAGACAGGGAGAGACAGTTATCTTAATCTTAAATGGCAAATTGAACAATGAATTTCTGTTGTGGATTTAATGAGCCTAAACCAAAAAGAAAGGATATGTGTGAATACTTAAATTACTTTCAGATTTGACTATTATTTAATTAAAATTCTTGTTAAGACAAATAGTTCATTCAGAGTTGGTGCTCTTGACATCTGATAATGCTTACAAATTGCTTGTAGTCTTATCTTTAGGCATATTTAATAATAACATCCCTGCTTACATTTACATGTAGCATGACACTATCCTACAAACCATCTTGTGTTTATGTCATATGAAATAAATATTGCTTGTTAAATTAGGGGGAAGATTGAAACAGCCAAGGGTGCTTGGCCTACAAATAGGACACTTCACATCACAGCTGATATAGACTCGGACTGTCATATTAACTTGGTGTTACAAACACATGTACTCTCTACTTATTTACTAAACATTTCTTAAGTTCCTTTAATTTTTCTAAATTTGATGGTGTAATTCTTCTCAATGCCTAAAAGACAGGCTGCCAAATAACAACTGAAAGTAAATGTGAAAGTCTAAACTCAGACACTGCACCATTAATTATCATTGTTACCTTTGACTTTGTGTTTTAATTGATGTTTTAAAGTGGTTTAAAGTTTGGTAAAATGTTTGGATGATTGCAGACCTTGTTCAATAGCTAGTTTAGTTTTATAGATAGTTCCCTGAGGAGCTGAATTGCATGTTTTTTTTATGGTGTTGGAGCAGTCCTTTTTTTAAATCACAATGCTAGCATCTGCAGTGACTGAGAGAACCTGTAAAGCTCCCCCTCTGAGCTCACATGAAGATCTAATTGTAAGAATTTGTTGACAGTTTTGGCCTTTCTCTTGAAAAGCCCCCTTAATTTGATTAGCTTTATTTAATAATCCAGAGTGACTTCTATTTGTCCTTTCCATTAAAGATACAAACAGAGACATAGTTTCGAACTTTAAATGAAAAACACAGGGAAGGGACTGTTTTCAACATGCATTCTTTGTCCTTTCAGGTGTCCGGGAAGAGGTCAGAGGGCAAGGAGGCCGATGACTTCCAAGGTGGCGCATACGAGGCAGCTGTCAATCAGGAGAAACAAGATGACCGCAAGACCCGCAGCGAGGTGGTGGGCGAGGGTCTGTCAGAGGAGAGTGACAGTGGCAGCGAACATGAGGAAGTCAGCGTGGCGGGGCTTAATGTGAGAACAACATTTATCATTGATTTAAAGGGCACACAGTCACAACAAAGTGATACAACTTAAAGCTCTGCTTAGTAGGAGATTTATCCCGCCCTTACAAATATCATACCAGGGAGTTTAAAGCTTTGATTTAGACAGATGCACACTGACCTTGATATCAGGCTTTGTCTACTCATTCTAGTGCTGATGATTACACATATATTTTTTTTATTGAGTAGGTCTCTACTGAAGTGAAACCACAATCTCTTTCTTATTATAACTTTGTAGATGACTTGCAGAAATGAAGTAGAAAGATTTCCAAACTATACACATATACTGGAAAATCTAAGGCAGTAATTTAGATCCAGTTGGATGATAAAGTCACATACATACTGTCTTACTGAGTCAGTGTATGGACCAAAAGGCAAGACATGGTCTGAACTGAAAACAGCTGAAGTAACCCAAACATAATTTCAACATCCTCATATCAGTCAGTAGAAACATCAGAGGCTGATGAAGTATTTTAGTTTTATATTTGGTGCAAACCCTGTTTATTAAGAATATATTCAACTAGAGTGAACCTGATTATTCTTTATACCCCAATCTAAATGTTCTAGTTTCTGTAGCTGTCAGAATAGTCCTCCAGAGCTGAATGTTATTTTTTGCATGACAAGTAGAGGATAGAAGGAGGGATAAGGAGTGGACAAATAAACCTCACATTCAAAAGCTATGCATGTACTCAGGTCAAGCCTGTGTGTGCTTATAAAAGACGTATTCAAAAACAATGCATTTACAGATCTCCCTCCTAAAAAAAAACATTAAACGGCAATCACAGCTCTTTTATCTCCTCTTTCATGACAATGAAAATGTTTATTATTTATCCAGAGTTGAAAAAAAAATTAACCTGCTGCCAAAAATTATTAATAGATTAGAAACAGACTCAAAGATTTACATTAAGTTATCTTAAGAGAAGTAGACATTTGTGTTTTTGAATAAAAACTAATCTCACTCTGCTATGTGAAACACTAAATCATTTAGAATGAACACGCGCCTTTGTAAATGTGACTAAAAAAGTTGTTCCTGCAGAGTACCTTTGATAGTTTTATTTGACACCGGCAGCGTGGCAGCGTGGCTACATGTGTTAAAAAGTTCACTGTGTAGAGTCAGTTTTTTAAGTGATAATTATCAAGGCTCATAATTTAGCATGAACCTTAATTTCCGTCTCAAAAACCCTCACAGGAGCTTCAACCAGAGTTACCTGTGGAAGAAAATTGATGCAGTTCATACTTTTGAGCACACAGGGGTGATGCTTGCACACCAAAAACTTGAAGCTCTTTTCATGGATTTGTCTTTGTCCCCACTGCCACCTTGTGGCTGCCAGGAGAACAAACTATCTCAATTAACCATCCTCATCAAATATGGTTAGGTCTGCACCCAGTGGTTTACATTTTAACGTTTGTTGTTGCATTAGAGTTTTATGAACAACCGAAAAGTGTAAACACCTGAACAAACTGCCAATTTAAAACACTGTAGACTATATGTACTGTATATATGAAGTGAATGAACATGTCTATTCACTGGGATATTTAGTCCATAATCATAGAGGTAGAAGCTGCTCATCGTGTCAAGTTTCTTCTGTTGCTTTTACTGCTGCGTGCCAAAGCCCTCTGTCTTATCACTGTCCTGTCGATAGATGGATAGAAGCGGCCGGCTGAAGCTGGAGACAGTGGATGACCTTTTCAACATCCTGCAGCTGAAGAAGAGGAGGAGGGAGAGGAGGGTCCCTGCCCACAAGAAACACCTGCCCCAGCCTGAGATTGTGGTGAGATTTAATTCTTATACATTGTTTTTTGATAAATGGACCTACTTTACAATTAAGTTTTTTTCCATGAAAAGTGAATTATTTCTATTTAACACTAATGGCGTCTCTGTAATACTACATATTTAAACTTGAAAAAAACAAAACAAAAACAAAAAAACATCAGGTTTTTGAAGCTCAGCTGCACCCCCGTGTGGTCAACCAAGGAACATTGTCAAGAGTTTATATGCAAGAAAATACCAACATACCATCATACCAATAATTTAATGAACAAGTGAAATAAAATCTCGTCATACTCAAATCACACTTGATGAAAATGGAAAACCACAATGTTGATGTATTTCTGAGTCTCTACCACTTCTTGAGAAATTTGATTTTGGCAAATAAATCAAACCACATCTGAATTTTCCCCATACGCAGATACTACAGTCCCTACAGTGTTTTTATCTTCAGTTTTTTTCTCCTTGTTTTTGCCTTCCAGCCAGAGTATGTGGACGAGCAGCTTTTTCTGACAGCAGCCATGGAGAACAAACTGCCTGTCGTGGAAAAGTACCTGACTGATGGAGGAAACCCAAACGCAGCCGACCACGTGAGTCACACACAGCAAGGCCTGCCTCTGGAAATTTTTCAAAGTCACATTAAAGCATGAGAAAGAGTTTTAGGACTGGAGAGGACATGTTGAAGAAAAGTGTCTGATTTCTACAAAAGCTTCTTTAAAAATAGAGCTGACTTTATGTTGTTGTTGTTATAAAAATGTACATAACGTTTTGCAATGAATAATAATTTAAAAAAAGAGTTAATGAAATCTTTTTATCATGATTTAGTTCCAGAGAACAGCTCTGCACAAAGCTTCATTCAAAGGAAATGTGGACATCATGAAAAGACTCCTGGAGGCTGGAGCTGCTATCGAGAAAAAAGATAAAGTGAGAGATGATTCTTAGCTCTCCATATTTCCTGTTGTAAACACACTATGAACACGCAAACAGTCACACACATAACACAAAGATGACACTCGTCTGACACTTGGGTGTGTGTTTCAGCTGGAGGCCACAGCGGTGCACTGGGCCTGCAGAGGAGGCAACCTGCCCGCCCTGCAGCTCCTCCTGGACCAGGGGGCTAAGTTCACCCTCAGAGACAAGGTAGGCTGAATACCAAATGTGGGAGAGGGATTACTACAGGTCAACAATTATTTCTGAAGCCTGAGCACAGGAATGTGTTCGATTGGATGAAACTGAACTCCTTCTTCCCTCTTAGCTGCAGAGCACTCCTCTCCACGTGGCTGTGAGGACGGGACACTGCGAGTGTGCTGAACATCTCATTCACTGTGGAGCAGATGTTAACGCCAAAGACAGAGTAAGCCATTAAAAAGAAATAAAAAAAATCCTTCATTGAGTAGCGTAATATCTACTCAAAAAATAATTTGTAATCCCTGCCAATAAAGTGTAACAGAGCTCTGCTAGAGGGCATCTATTAACCATTAATCACAATCTAAAAATAAAAACATTTTCTTTGATACATGTCACACCCTTACAAATGTGGATAATTACTCAAAGACAGAAACACTGGTTGATCTGTCATGCTAACAAAAAAAAAAAGAAAAAAAGGTTGTAGTTATCTAATTGCCCCCAAAATGTTTTGTTTTGTTTTTTCTCTCACTGAAGGATGGAGATACACCCATGCACGATGCTGTGAGGATTAACCGGTTCAAGATGATCAAGCTGCTGATGATGTACGGAGCCAGCCTCAACACCAAGAACTGTGTAAGTACGGCAAAACAAACCAAGAACATGCACTAAACCTGTGTGTTTTGTGCAACAGGTCAACAGCTGACACTGGCAAGTGCACAGTTAAAGTTTATCTACTCTTGGCAGCCACACTGCTCTAATTCCCTGAGGGTAAATCTCAGCGCTGAGAGAAACAATTTACACAGACTTAAAGAGGCAAAAAAACACACACCTGCCATGAAGCAATCCACGAAGCAGTCAGCAGTCGCTTACATAACAGATTCACAAATTATCAAACTTACGACTGTTTTCCCGACATAGAGCAAAACCTGCTGATTCATGATTTGCCAGTACTGCGTAGACTACAAATGAAAACCATAGACTATGTTGTAGAGTTGGTGCCCCCCCCCCACAGAAAGTTATCTGCCTCTTCTAAAGGGGGTGTTGTTGCTAGAGGAAGGCTGATAGGTTTAAGATTGTGTGATGGGAAGTCTGATAGGGTTGAGATTGTGTGATAGTGTTTAACCCATTATTCGATAACTACTGATTTCAAAAAGCAACTGTGAGCTGCATATCTGATCTCCAAGTACTTTACCAAAATAATTATGATAGCCGCTGAACAATACAGTGTAGTAGGAATATAGCCAAGATTTAGATTTAATCTGAACTTGGTCTAAATTTAGACAACTAAAAAACTTTCATGTTTAGACCTGTGTTAGCCTGATCATAGAGCAGTCGTCTAGGCTACATTTAGACGTCTATTAGACCTGTTTTAGACCAAAAAATGCTCAGTGGGTGATGAATTGATTAAAGTTACTTTGAATGTTATTTTCTGCCTTAGCACTTAAAAATAACACCTTGATATTTTCAAACTTAAGGTCAAACTCATTTCCCAAAGTCGCTGCCTCAAGGGCTTTATAGTTAGAGGAGTGAAATTAGAGCTATACCAGTTCATGAGACCTCTGGAAATCTTATCGACAGGGCGTCGTAACTGATTCCTCCCACCACTGGATGCCAACAGCCTTTGAGGAAATGACGAAGTCAAAACCAAGTTATTCAAATCTTGCATGCTCTGTTCATTTTCCCCATGCAGGATGGAAAAACACCAATGGAGACACTCTATTCCTGGCAAAATGGAGCCAAGAGCCTCCTGTGCAACGTCAGCCTGGAGAAAACAAACCAGTAAAACCAACACATTCCAGTAAAAAAAGCAGAAATCCACCATGAGCTTCAGACACATCATCCACTGATTAATTTCGAAAAGCTGCACAACAACAACTTGGATTTTCAACTTTCTTATAGTAACTGTCACACTGTAGACTGTAAACCACACACCTCATGTGTTACTGACGGCACTCCATGCCCTCGTGAAATAACTGCTCCAGAACTGAATCCAAACTTGGCTCATGCCTGAGCTCTTTGGTGCTGCAAGGTATCTTAAATGAGAGGTTGTAAGTCATTAACTCATCGCCTTCTTGTTCAGGGATTTGATCTGGCATCCTCCTAAGCCTTCACCTCAAGTCTTTTGGCAGGGTGTCATTTCCTCATGTGAAACATTATCTAGACAGGTATCTCCATCTACAATGTGAAATGAGATCAGTACGGTATTCATAATGTGACTATAAGCACTGATAGGTTTATTGATCGCCCAATGTTGCTGGACAGTGTCTCGGCTAAGGGCATGAAGATGTGTATTTCTTTTCTTAACTTGTAATTTAAGCTGAGTTGAAGTCAGCGATACTACATCTAGAGGATGACATATTTATTGATTCATGAAAACTGTTAATGATCAGTTTACTGGATTTAATTCAATACTACATATCTAAAACTTGAGTGACTGTAGAGTTGTACTATATATGATTTATTGCAGTTTTTTTTTATTGTTTTAATCTATTTTTTTTACTCTAAACTTGATGACTTTAATCCACTTAAAACACCGATACGAGATACTGCTTCAGGTCTTCTGGATTTACATAACCTCTTAAAAAGATTTCTCAAGTCTCACTGGATCAACAGTGTGTAAGTCAATTCCAGTCTGAAACAGGAGTTATTTATTTATTTATTCGATGCATTTTTCTTCAGTTGAGTGTGAAATGTTAGAAAATAGGGAATCTAATTCTCCTCTTGCTTGCTTGTAGTGTTTGTGTTGAACTGAAACATTCAGGCGAGTATAGTCGAGGAACTTTTTTGGGTCTTTTCATTTCAAAATTGAGACAGGAAGAAGTATGTTTTTGGATCAGGTGAAGAAGAATCTCTCCACTTCTTGTTTTAATCTCAATCATTTGCAGCTTTACACTTTCTCCTCGATTGTTTATTCTGAAAACAAAAGCCCAGACTAATATTAAACCTTATCTGCTGCTGTGCGTTTGGTTTGGTCACACACTGACATATTTTTCCTAAATCTGATTTTTCTAAGTTTCACAGAATGTGTACAGAAATTTTGCTGCAGATAAATGTCCCCAACCTACTACATTTTTTTTTCCAATATTTTACTTGAAACTAAAAATTAGGCGCTCCTCTTGAGGCATATCCTAGATAATGTTTATACAAAGTATATTTTTCTACTGATGCTTAATTCGAGCTTCAGGGATCACAAATTCTCATCAGCTGTAACCTACTGAGATAAAAAAGAGTGACAGCTGTTTTCTAACTGTGCCACATTATTATATGTACCTACATATATACACTAATAGAAGTGTGAGAGGGAAAGAGCTGGATAGTCACTGTTGGTTGTGAGGATGTTTGACATGCTAATGCTGATAGAACAGGTCCTGATTTGTGGATGGTGATAAGTATTTCTTAATGTTTAAGAAGTATGTACATTTTGCCTTGTATTTATGAACTGATTGAATAAAACTGATTTTGAATTTGAGCTGGCTTTTATTGAGATGACAAAGATAAACATGGCTACTGACATGAGGAAAAGTTACTCTAAGGTCTTATCTATAAGGGGCTCATGCCGAGCTGCCTCTTGAAATCACATTCCAACCTCACTTTAAAGTGTATGTACTGACATCTGTCTGCTGACTTGGTGTAATTTACAACATACATTATGTGCCACTTAAGTATGACATGAATTCATATACTGCATATTTTAAGTTGAACTGGCTAAGCTCGCATTTCCACAGTTCCCCAGTTTCTCTCTTGTTGTCTCTTCTTAACCATGCTAGTCGAGTACATGACTCTAAAGGAGCCCACATTTGTCAACAGAGATGTCAATTTTTTTGTTTGACTTAAAAAATGGCTTAAACTAAACTTTGTAAAAACGTATTCACTGAAATTTATTTTCATCACATACAAAAGATATAACTTACACTTGTGCGTCCCTAGGTGCTTGCTAGGTGGCAAGCTCTGCAAATGTATGGTTAGAGCTTAAAGAGGGGGCGTTATGCATTTTTTCAGACTCTATATTTAATCTCTTTCCTCTTTAACAGCTTAATGTGATTTTCAAATCAAAACAGCCTTAAATTTCTCACAGTGGTGTATTAAAATATCATTATATCATTATGTCAGCCTCTGTCTAAAATGCCTCATAGAAGCAGCTGTCTCTTTAAGATAGATAAATACAGCTGAGGTTGAGGACATGGTTGGGTGTCTGGACATCACCTCCACTTATACACTGCCATCATGCAATTATGGGCACACCATTGTTTTTTACAACATGCTATTGATGTCACGTTGAGTCTGCTGACACTCATCTCCCACCTCCCCATCCTTCAGGGAGACATTCAGACTGAGAAGCATGTGAGAACAAGTAAACTTCAAGTGGCAGAGCTTCAGAAGAGGGGATATTACTGTTTGCTATGCAGTAAAAAAAACATATCAAACAAGGCAAACCTTAACTCAAAGAGTTGACTATTTGTGCTTCTTATAAAAATGTTGTTGTAGACAGCGCCTTAAGCCTCAGGTCACTCCAACCACAAAGTGATGTTGCGCTAAAAATAACCATTTGTAGTGGGGGCCATAGTGGTCCTTCATATTGTTTACCTGTACTTTTGTAGAGTATATGGAGGTAAGACAAGGAAGACACTAGCTATCATAAAAAAATGGAACAGGTAACGTGATTTGGGCTAAAAACTTTCCTGATTATAGGATACAACTGTCAGAACTGCCCACTGTTTGCAACTAAGATGCTTGGCAGAGAGATGCAAACCTGTTTTTCCTGTGGTCTGAGAATCAATGCCAGACTACAGCCTGGAATTGGATTGTTATGAAAACCCTGACATGTGACTATTAAGACATGTGTCATGTCGCATGAAACATGTGACTAGTTGGATTTCCTTTCATGGATCAATAAAATTCTAATTATCTTATCTGTAATATCTCTTCATACCTGAGTGACATTAACTCCTTTTGCAGTGTATTGTTGATTTAAATTTCTAGGGGCAAGAGAGCTGTTGATGTCAAAAACTGTACAAAAGTCAAGGGGTGTGGTGGGAATGTGCAAGATAAGCTTGCATAACTCCTCTTCAGTACTTTTCCATGCTCACCATTTCTGCTAAAAAAAAAAAAAAAAAAGTAAGTCTCACTCTTTCACATGTTAAAAACATCCAGAGCATCAGCTTATGGGTTTGACAGACTTCAAGAATGAGATTCTGATCAGCAAAAAATAACTTTTATCTCAGACATCTTTTTCACGTACCTTGACATGTTTCGGCAGAAATTTCTCAGAAGTGTCACTTAGTGGTAGGTGTGACATGTCTTTTCAGCTGATGTTACGGAGGCCTGACCCTCCTGTCAATTTTTTGACAGGAGGGTCATGCCTCCCGCTGCCTGTTCGCCTCTGCAGAAGGTTGCTCCAGGTGTGTGAGAGCATGTATGCCCCTTTATCCCTGTTCTTCATCCCTGGGGTCCTTTTTCCTAATATCAGTGGCTTCCCTTATCCAGCACTGGTGCTTAACTGGCTGACTTAGAGTGAGAGGGAAATGATATTTTTTTCCCATTTAACAGTGGTTATTGAAAAATTGTTCATTTCAACCCTTTAAAGCTTCTGTGAGGAATTGTCACTTTATGTCACTTTTGGTTCAGTCTTCGCTTATCTTGTCAACTACATGCTTACGTTACTTAACTTTCGACAAAAACCTCATCCTGACAGTTTTAGACAGTCAAATACATCATTTATTGTTCATGTATTGTATAAAAAACAGAGCTGTATCTTCTGCTGCGTTTCAGGCATTAAAAATCAGGACATCAAAATCTTCAACCCTGATGCTGATGATCTTGATTCATTTAGGATATCATTAAAAGGCCTCGATATGAATTGTAGTCTATTTGATAAACATTCAAAGCTTCAAATTTGAGTGTTTTGAGTGAAATCCTGTTACTTCAGGGGGAATTTTAAAAAAAAAAGTGTAAGTAGTGTACATGACGCAGCTTTATCAGACTTCAACTTTTGGAGTTAAAGACTCTTCCTCTTAACACAAAATTACTGCTGCTGCACTAGATAAGATTTGCAGTTTGGTCTACATTCCTTAAACAGATGCACACGCCCGGCCATCAAGGTCCACAGCTGTCCTTGTAGCAAACAAAACAAGTCTCCAAAACTTTCTGTAGCAGGTGAGAGAGGCATAATAATGAAATGGTTATACCAGAATGATAGTAATGGTCACACTGTCAGGAAGTATAGACATAATATAAAATTCTACATGAGACTTTCATTTCCAAGACAGAGTCATAAACCTGTTTGGCACTAAGTACATTGTTTCAATCAGTTTGTTAGAAGGCCACTTGAACTATGGGAGTGATGGGCATCATTTTTGGGCAGCAGTGTAACCAGTCTCTTGGGATACAGAGATATCAGGCAGACCTTTTTTTCCCCATGTATTACCAAAGTACCAGCTTCAGCAAGGATGGACCTGTTTTGGGGAGGTTTCGTCCAAGAGTGTTAACTACACTTTCCAAGTTCTGTTTAACAACATTCACAAATTCCAATCCCAGGATTGCATTACTTTTATTCACAAAACCTCTCTTTTTGGATTCACAGAAAAATTCTAAAACAATTGTATTCCAGTGAGCAACAGTTTCCCTTTTCCTTAATGTATTTTCTGCATTCATACACAAAATACCAAAGTGGAGCACCAGCTCAACATTGTGCCTACCATCAACCAGCATGCTGACAGTGGTATCTTCACATGCTGACTCTGAAGTGTAGACTCTTTCAGCAAATTATATCATAGAACAAAAGTCTCTGAATGAATCTCCTACATCACTGAATATGCTGATAAGGGTTTGCTTTTTTCCATGACAAAGATGAGAGGACAACAAGCTAAAAAAAACCTACTATGACAGCAATTTCTAATTAACTGAGCTGACTAAAGACAGAAAACCTCAAGATTCAGAGTAAAGACAAAAAAGTTTTTAACAATTTTTTTAACCACCAACACAATACTAAAACTTTGAAGGAAAAAAAAATGACTACAATGTGACTAAAACTAAAATTGCCATAATTAACTCTGGTTTGTGTATTAAAACATGTGAAGTAGGAGTGCTGGTCCATTTTAGATGCTGGAGTGGCCAGATATCTTGTGTATAAAAGCTTCAGTTCTTGTGGTGCCTGTTTTAGAATTGATTCCCAGTTGTGACATGATTTCATGGATTTCATTCCCTACTATTTTCCCAGATTTCAAAGGCCCAAAAAATAATCATACGGAGAAAAAATATTCAAGCTTTCATGCTTGAATATTTTTTCCAATGCTGCTCTGTTCATACTTCACTTTTTACCTTCCCCCTCTTGTTCTTGAATTAGCACTCTGTTTTTCTGCTCCACCCCTGTCAGGTGTTTATGTGTGTCCTTTGGTATTTGATGCAGTCCTTTCTGCTGCTCTGTGTTGGCCAGTGCCAAACATACAATCAGCTTTGTGGTGATTTTCCCTGTTTGTTGACTGACCTTACTGTCTACATCTTGATGTATTATTTTGCCTGGTGACTGACTGCTGCCCTGTAAACCTGACCTTTTTTGGCAAGTACAAGACTCATTTATTGCACCAATTAAGTTGCTGTGTGTTATCTCCAAATGCATCAGGTTGTTGTAACTCTGTGACTAGCTTACTTGACAGGAAACATCTAGAGCTAATGACTGCTCATAAATCATAGCAAAACACTCATTTATCTTACCTCTTTGCTCCAGTGTGGATTCATTTTTGTAGTCTATTTGTTTTCAAAGATAAGGATGTATCAGTGATGACAGGAAAAGGACACAAAGTTAAAACTCCTTTGACCTTGAATGACTGAGAGCTTTAACAGAATAGGCTCAGGTGATCATCTGTCAGCAAGCTGCATCACCTCAGGAAACTTTGTAAAAGATGCTACTTTTTTGTACTTAAGACTAGACCCTGGAGAGCAGTTTTGGTGTATGTTTGTAGAATGTATGAAGGTGTTTTGGTGGGCTTTGGCAGAGTAACAGACCACATGGAGAGCAAAGGAGATGCAGCACATCCCCCCTATTATGCCATCCCAACACCCATTAAGAATTAGCTTAGAAAGATTTAGCTTAACAATCCTAGCCAGACACGTGCACACATAGGGTCTGAGGGGTGCTTGAATCCCTGACCTGTGTGTGTGTTTGTGTGTGTTTTAAATTCCTGTCAGGGGTGTAAAATCAAAGACACATGCGCACAAAAAGGGCAGCATACAGTACTGTACCCATTTTCTTGTAATACAGTGGTGTGTGTGTGTGTGTGTGTGTGTGTGTGTGTGTGTGTGTGTGTGTGTGTGTGTGTGTGTGTGTGTTGCTCCTGCCGCTTCTCTGTCTGTTGAGGCTCCAGTCCGCTCTGTCTCCAACAGACAAAGAGAGAGTGAGTGAGCAAGAGGTGAAGTGAGAGAAAGAGAAAGAGAAAGAGAGTGACTTGAAATAACTTCCTTGAAGGCTAACAA